TAGCATAGTATAGTATAGTATAGTCTACACCTGTTGCAACTCGACAGACATTTGCAGCGTGCACTCTCGATGGGTCCTCTCTATGGCGGAGGCTCGTTCAATAGGATCTTAAATTTAGTGTTTAGGGCCTGCGGGTTTAGGGTTTACCGGCGGTTCATGGCGAAGGACTTGGTCTGGTCGTTGTCAAAACACATGCAGCTTCACGATGTGGCCAACGCGTCATCAAAGACACTGCCGGCTTGTTGAAGCCCTTCGAGCCAAAAACCTCCGAATGCTGAGGTACCAGAGCCCCTGGTTACGGTTTGCTCCCCTAAACCGTAAACCCTAAACCGTAAGTCCAAGACGAGCGAGATGCAAGTGCAGGACCCAATCCCCACAAGCTGCCCATCGACACCCGTATCAGAGAGATAGATCCTAGAAGCCCAGTTAACCTCTTTGATGGGTTACCACATGATGGCTAGGGGGGTCCAGTAGCACGCTACGCCGGCAACCGGGTTTTGATGATTATTGTACCTCTTGGACAGTTGACCTGTGGCCTTCAGGCAATCTCAGTGTTTTGGGTACCGTCAGCTCCCCACAAGACATCTTGGTGTCAATTGTGTGCGTGTGTGTGTATGTTGAGAAATTACTTAGGTTCCAACACTCCTCCAAGGTTTAGGCCTGTCGGCTTTGAGGTTTTGGGGTTTAGGTGTGGGCTGCTTTGATGCACTTTGAACTTGGAGTCTTCTTAACAACCTCATATGCTCAATATGGTTACAATATAGAAACTTACAAGACTAAGTTTTAAAAGTCTGGGACTCTCTGCGAGCCCTGAGGCCAGCACCGCTGTGTCTGCAAATCGTTTTATCTTATGAGTCGAGGGATCTGCTTTGAGGAGCAAGCAAAACCCGTCGACCTTTCCCTCAAACCCTTGCAACTTAAGGACAGAGTGCGTGATTGAAAGGGTCCATTGCTCTCTGGCATTCTTCAGGTTCGACCCAATGCTGCCTGGATCTCAGGTCATATGAGTGTGAGGCTAGGGGGTTTAGGGTGTAAGGTTAACATCGTTTAAGGCCTATAAGTTAAAAAACGTTTTAGGTTTAGAAGGTTAAAAACGTTTAAGGTTTACGGTAGTTGTAAGGTTAAAAGCATGTAAGGTTTACGAAAGGTTTTGGTAAGTGAGATGGGATCAAAATTGTCGTGTATTGATTTTAAAGCAGGCTGTTGTTGAAGATGGCAAATGCTAGCGGGACCTGTAAAACGATAGGGCACGCCCTAAAGACGATACCATCAATACCACACTGTTCCCATTGTAGGACGACGTCCCCAGATTGGGCAGATCGATACCCGAACGATACCCAAAACGTGGCCCCGATTGGCCGAGATGGGCCCGTGGCCGTTCATGTACTGTGACAGTACTATTTCTTGGACCAGAAGCCCGAAAGACCAAAAATTGACGACTCCAAACAGTCCAAACTCCAAACATCCTTTAACCTAGAAGCTTAGACCCAGGCCTAAACCAGCTCTCCGCATCGCAAAAAAACTTCGCATGCTCTCAGAAGCTAGTTCTTCATGACTCCACGATGCCGCGCCCTTTCGAATTGCAAAGCAGATAAGGACTTCACAAGGCCCCAAGGACTGCAACACAAGGCCACGCCCTGCCCAGCGATCCAGTCCCGGCGAAGAGCTTCGGACTTTCACGGAGGAATAAACCGTTCGGTATTTCATGCAGACGATACGGCGAAGATTCGAAGGGGCAGCGGCCAGCGAAAGAAGTTGCGCATTTGCCCAAGTTGTTCACCTTCAGCTTCGACTTCCTCCTTGCTTTCCGACCCGGAACCATAAACTATGCCAACAGCCCCAAGATTAACTAGACCCTAAAAACCAGGGTTTTGGCGGTGCTCAAGCCCATGACCCTAAACTCAGAACTGATGGCAGGGAGTCTCAGATTAGAAGCGAGCCTGATCTAAACCGACCAGTATTTGCAGATCCCAAACCCTGCCATTTTCAGGGCTCTACCGTTTAATTAAAGGGTCAGAACCTGCTATGTTGCAGCGTTTGGGGTCACAAGTAATTACCCCGAAAGAAGGTAACCGGAACTTGGAGCACCCTTTGGGTCTAACCGTACATGTAACCCTATAAGAGAACGCCCCTGTCCCGAAACAGGATTTAGGGGTTCGGGTTTAGGGTTTACCTGTAGCCCAAAGCCCTACCTTTTTAACGTTCTTTGCTCTGGTTTCTGTATATACTTCCTTAAAAAGGTCGGCTTGGGGGGGGGGGGTAAACCGTTATGGACCCTAGTAGAACCCTAAGCCTTAAGAAGCCTTAAACCCTAGGCTTCCAAGGACCTACAAGTTAGGGCCCCAGACCCCTTGAGGACCCAATAATACAGTCCCTGGAAGCCTAGGGTACAAGCTTTGGGTTTCAGGTGCCACCTGGCCAGGAGCGTCGAGGCTGCAGGCGGCTTTCTCCACGCGTCTCGTCAGAATCGAAGGGAACTGCGCAGGCCGGGGTTTAAGGTTTAGGGTTTCGGCTCTAGGGTTTAAGGTTCTTTAGGGGCCTTAAATGAGTCTAAAAGGTTTTTTTTGAGGGGGGGGGTAAAATATCCTGTAGTTGTTCAGGACCCCCCCAAAAATAAACTTTGGTAACTGTTTGGGGCCATGTAAAAATAAATTCTTTGGGACTTGGGATGTTTGGTGTCTCGGGTTTAGGGTTTGAGGCTTTGAGCGGTTTTCATTTACGAGTTCAGCGTTCGGGACTTATAGATAGGGCTTAGGGAGTAGGATTCAGCGTCCGTGGTTTGGGGCTTAGGGATGGGTCTCAGGTGTAGGGGTAGGGTTGGGGAATGCAAACACTAGAACCGTAAAGCCCTATTCCCTCTCAAGCCGGTACAAAGAAGCCACAATATCTGAAGCTGTTATAATTCCCTTCTCTAGGTGTCTTGGGAAATTGAGAAACGTTGTTAACTTCCATTATGGTCCTGTTCATGAACCTCTGCTTGCGGGGCCCTGAAACTGATCCCAGTTTAAACCTATTGAATCGCGTCTCTTTAAACCCTAAACCCTAAACCCCTAAACCCTTAAACCCCTAAAGCCTAAACCCTTAAACCCTAAACCCCTGGACCCTAAACCCTAAACCCAAAGAGAAACCTTTAGAGCCTCATAGAAACACCTGCTAAAGTTCGCGAAGTTCTGCACCAAAGCCTTTGAAACCTGACAATGCAGGGGCTTTGATGATTAGAACAAGGCCTAATTAGGATCGAAACATGTATGTTGGCGCTTGTTTCAGGCCCCTATCCAAAAGACAATGGCAACTTGCTAAGCTAAGCTTTGGAACCTGATAGACCCTACCCATAGGCCCCTAAGTAGTTCCTTTTTATGGTTTATATTTAGAATCCTATAAGGTAATCCCAAAAAGGCACTATGAGTAGGTCCTAAACCAAGAGGCCAGCAGGCTCGAGTCTCTCATTACTAGCAGGTTCTCCATACTTCCATTTGACACTCGCTGAAACAGCCGGTGAGAGGAAGGCCTATGGCATGGCTTCGGACCGTTTGGTGTTTGGGCAGCCTTTGCTTGGCCTGGGCGCTCCGGGTCGATGATCGCCATCCACCTCCCTGCCGTGAAGAGTATACATGCGATGCGGGCAGGGTCAATGAGTCTGCACAGAGCCAAGAGCGCATTGCAGTGTACACATACAATATCGGTGGCTACGAGGAGATGCGTGGTGACCACATTCCATGTGTCCCGTCACACCTCGATGCTTTCCTGTTTGTAGATGAGGTTAGTCAGAAACGTTTTGGCATGACGGCTGTGAAGAAATGGCAAGAGATGGGATGGCGTGTCGTGAACTTCTCGCAGGTTGAAGGAACCAAGTATGTACCCAGTCCCAGATTGACGAGCAAATCACTGAAGTTCGAACCGCCTGGATGGTTGTTGAATGGTACTTGGCAATGGTTGGTTGAGTACGATGGCAACATCGTGGTAGACCTGCATAGACTTGCACCATTTTTGCAAAGGCGGAGAGAGCAGGCCTTGGTTCTTCTAAACTGGGGCTACCACCAGGACTGCAGTGATGACAGCTTCAAATGCTTTATGACGGAAGTGACAAGCATGCTCACGGAGAGGGTTGAATATGTTGCTCGTTCCAAAGAGAATGTTCTAAAGTGGAAAGAGCTCCTAGACCAGATGCATCAGGGCCGGCTGACGCAGGGAGGCCGGAAATATATGCCATCGAACTACTATGAGACGAATGTGATGTTTCGCAACCTGAATCATGCTAAAGCTGACAAAGTCAGAGATGCTTTTAAGAAGACCTTCTTGAAGTGCCACGAGATCCAGCGGGATCAGTTTGTGTTGCCGTTTTTTCTCTGGCAAGATGGGCTCGATGAGGACACGCAGGCCTCTCCCATCGAGACCCTGGTTGACGAGCTCGGATACTGCATGGTGAGCACGCGTGTGGGACGAAACTAGGCTGACCAGCGAACGCCACACAGGAGTCGCAAAATGCGCTCAGCACCTGTGGTGGGCTCATCCCTCTTCAAGAAACGGAGCTAGAGTGCAGTCTGTGTGTGGGTTTGTGTTCCCTAAATCCGATCACCCTAAACCCTAATTAGGCCTTGGGGGTTTGTCTTGAGCTGGGGGCTTCGGAGTCGTGACGACCGGGCTGTCAAGCTCTGCAGTGCGATCGCAAGTAGAGGCTGTGAGCTGGCTTGAAGTGCGGAAGTTCGGTTGGGGACCTGATCGACTGCTTTACATAAAACCATGAACATCCTAAACTCTACCCATAGGCCCCGAAGTAGTTCCTGTTGGGGGTTTACCTTATAGGATTCTAAATATAAACCATAAAAAGGAACTACTTAGGGGCCTATGGGCAAATCCTAAAGAACCCCAACATGGGGTGATGATGCTTCCATCGCGGGTCCCCAGCCTGAGCCTTTGCAGTCCCGGGTTCAGGTTGGTTGAGTGAGGCAATATATAGGGGGGCACCTAAGTATTTGGGGATTCCTTATTATGGGTATCATGCTGAAGTATATTATAATTACCTCAAACCCTATTCTAATTATTAAGGGATTTATTATTATAACTATCACACATATATATATATATAGTATTCCAAACCCTATTCTAGTTATTAAGGCTTGCTGGTGTGTCTTGGCTTCTTCAGTCCGCTCAAGGTGCGCTGCGCAGTTCCAGTGTGCTTAGGGGTTCCACTTAGGGTTTAGGGTTTAGCGTTACTTTGTGGCCAGTGCTTGCCCAACCAGTCCCGGTTTCAGCAAACTGGCGTTGAGAACTATGCAGTTGCCAGGAGAACCGATCAAAACGCCTCAGCCCTATAATCCCCCCGCAAAGAACTCTGAACCCTAACGCAGAATCCCTCAAGCATGACCGATTGCATAAATCTGAAACCCTAAACCCTAACAACCTAAAACCCTAGAACCCTAAAGCCCTAAACCCTAAACCAAACAAGCTCAAAGAGTCCAAAAACCAAAGCGGCCCCCGAGCAGAGGTCCTCGGTCTGCACTTCGGCAGAGACGCGAGGGTACCCGGAGGCGTCGAACTTGTGCCCCTTTTTCTTTTTGGGCTTAGGGGTTTTGGCTTGAGGGTTTAGGGGTGTAGGCTTTAGGGTTTAGTTATTAAAGCCAGATAGTAGGGACCTGGGTACCCTTATTATTCAGGGGCTGCTGGGGAACTTAAAACTCTGAAGTCAGGGATGTTCGCAGGGCTTCAAGGGCTTTAGGGCTTGGGCTGTAGGGCTTCAGGAACTTAGCGTTTGCAGTTCGGGGTTTAGGGCTTGGGATTTTTGCTTGGGCTTCAAGGGTTTCAGGTTCTATTGGCTACAGGTTGCATGCGCTACCGCCAAACCCTCAAGCCTCAAATCAGGCTCAAAACCTCAAAACCCTACAACCCTCAACCGTAAGTCAAAGCCTAAATCCAAGCCATTACAATTTTCTTTCTTCAGCCCCAAACCCTCACTCAGCCTTTCCGTACACCTTGAAATGCTAAACTCGAACCCCCTAAATCCGAAGCCCCAAACCCTAAGCCTTTTCCCTAAGCCATCAGCCCCCATAGGCCATCCGGAGCCTGGTGGAGATGCCACTCATCGCGACACGCTCCTCGGCCAGGAGGTTCTCAAGAGCCCAGGGTTTCGAGTTTTTGGTTTAGGTTTTAAGGTTTAGGGTTTACGGTTTAGGGTTTTGGAAGCTTCTGTAATGCTACTTTAAGGTCTGCTTCAGGGTTCGTGGGTTTTGAGTTTGTAGTTTTAGGGGGTTTAGGGGCCGGCATGTTCGAGCCTATGGGGTTTTTGAAGTTTGTTGTTGCAGTCTCTTTGGTTTTGTTTGCAGGGGATAATTAGCAAGGTTATTCCCTAGGCTCCTTCCTAGTTAACAAAATGGCTTACTCTAACCACTAAGGCACAAACCCATACCAAAGAAACCTAAACCTATCTAAGTTTTTAGCCCCTTGGAGTGGGCCTAGCAGCCCTGTGGTAGGGGGCCCCGAGCAAGAAACCTGCAGACGTCCGAGGTGGCACTTCCAGGATAAGGCCGCCAATGTTGATCCGGGCCCGGGGCTGCAAACCCTATAAACAACCCTAAACCCAAAACCCAAACCCTAAACCCTACACCCAAACTCTAAACCCTAAGCCCTAAACCCTAGTCATATCATGCAAGGTGCCGAGCTGTTCTCAGGTTCTTGGATTTGGGGTTGCAGGTTGCAGGGTTGAGCATTTATGGTTTCGGGTTAGGGGGTTCAGGGTTTCGGGGCGCCACAGGTGTGCTGTTCTCAGGTTCTTGGATTTGGGGTTGCAGGTTGCAGGGTTGAGCATTTATGGTTTCGGGTTAGGGGGTTCAGGGTTTCGGGGCGCCACAGGTGTCAGAGTTTGGGGGTATAGGCTCAGCCAAGGCTTCTCTGACATTCAGTATCCATCTGAGCCACCTGTTTTCAGTTACAGGGCTGTGTTGAGCTTCGGGATAAGGAAGGTGAAAGCGCGGGGAGGACCCTAAACCTGAGCCCTTGAAAGGACACGGTCAGGCAGATGGGCTGGATTGGGATGCTTTGCCATGTTCGTGTTTTGAGAGTTGTGGTCGGGCGGCCAGCACGTGTTTTAACATTTCCCAAGACCATGAGCTTGCACCCTAAACCCTTAACCGTAAACCGTAGCAAAGTCTATCTGTCACCGAGCTAGTATTTTTGGCTGGGTCAGACGAAGGGCTGCCTTGCATGGGTGAGCTTGCAAGCAAGTTGTTCGTTCAATGATGTGTTCTCGAATATAATATCAGCTTTAAGCATGCTTATTGTTGTTCCAATTACGATGACGGTTTCTGTTCATGGTTACTGTGATGGTGCAGCGAGTATTTTGTGGTCGCGACAACTGCGTTGGAAGTTACGTTCGTGTTGGATCTGACCAACAGTATTTACGTGTTCACCCACACATGTTTTGTGACACTAACATTCACCACACCCTACGGAGAGCCTAAGATGAGTATCAAATACTACTTACTACTTGTCGTGAGTGTTTCCGGGCATCAATCCCATTCCACTCGTATCTCCGCGCCTGGAGCCTCAACCCCAAACCCCCAACCCTAGAGCCCATACCTGAACAGCCTGAAACCCCCCAAACCCACTATGCAAACAGCGAGGTCTTTGGCGGTTTGGTTTAGGTAAGTCAAAACCCTCAATCCGAAACGTCCGAAGCCTCAATCCTGCACGCTGCCAACCTTTGTGTTCAATGCTCAAGCGACTCGTGCATGAGCGTGCCCGGACAGGCCTGACATTCTAAGACTACGCGTACGTTAACTTAACTGCGACCCACAAGATTGAGAGCAATCCTTGATCCCATCTACTTTTGACACAGATGGGGGAATTAATATTGGTAATATGTATATATTCCTCGTGGCATTCACTTATAGCGTAACATATCCCCGAAACCCAGAAATATTTAGTTCCACTACACGAGCCCCATAAAGGGATTCAGTACAACCTCGAATTGGCATGCTGGCAGATGGGCGCTCCAAGCCGCAAGGCTTGCTGGTAACGGGTGTTTGGGGTACAGGGTTTTATCGTTTCCCCATAGGCCCTAAGTAGTTCCTTATTGGGATTACTTTTTAGGATTCTAAATATAAACCATAAAAAGGAACTACTTAGGGGCCTATGGGTAGGGTTCAGGGTTTCCAATGCGTTCCCTAACTCGGAAAGCTGCCACAAACGGAGCCGTGTTTTCGTGAGTCCTGAACCGGGCTTCAAGCCTGGATAGGGGTGGGCGCATCTAGTGACAAATAGTAGCCAGTATTATATATACTTGATTACACAATAGTGATTTATATGCATTATTTCGAGCTTTTCAGGTTTAAAATTGGATTCGTTAGTTCGTGGGTTTGGGGGCCCTTAGCCTCGCATCGACTTCTCGCATTTGAGGACTGACGGCAGGCGTATTCTTGGTGAGCATGTCATGTGACGGATTGCTCAGCACCGGCTCCTCTGGCAAGGAGTCAGTGGAAGCCTGTTTGGCAGTATTTAGAGTCACGCATGCATTTGGGAAATGACTGGCCTCATGTCGCAAAAAGAACCGTTGCCAGGACGAACAGGAAGATCGGGCATGATTGCTGCTAGTACAAGCATAGGTTGCGGCAAAAAACAGGGTACAGAGTCTGGTGGCTCAGTGGATTGTGGAGTATGTGACCCATACCTAGCCTATATTGAAGATTGGGTCTCTGAACCCAAAGAAACATGAATCCCAGAAGTTCTACATACAGCATGGAGTCTATGAAAAGCAGCGAAACATACATTAAAATCAAGATATCTATATATGTATATATATATATATTTATTTATTTATTTATTCATAGATAGAGAAAAAGATAGAGCTGGCTAAAGCGACAGGTAGGTAGGTAGGTAGGGAGGTAGGGAGGTAGGTAGGTAGGTAGGTAGGTAGGTAGGTAGAAGGTAGGTAGAAGGTAGGTAGGTAGGTAAGTAGGTAGGTAGGTAGGTAGGTAGGGAGAGATGGAGAGAGAGAGCGACCGAGAGAGAGAGAGAGGAATGGCTCGAAGCCACAGCGCAGACCCGTTCTGGTTTTGGGTTTTTTGATAGACACGTTAGGCGCGGGGGCGGGGTGCATGGAGGATGGAAAGCAGAGCCCTAAATCAGAAACACTCAACGACAGGCTGTGCACGCTTCGTTCCGGGCAGCTGTCGCAGTTGCGTTTGCCCTGGTTGCGCCGTGGCCGCTTCGAATATTCGGGTCTTACATAACTACAAGTAGCAAAATTAGTTTGGGCTCTTTGGTATAGTTACAGTGTGGCATACCGCCAAGCCCTGTTCGATATTATGAAAGGCCCCTATACTACCTTCTTCAGGATCCAGCACCTGACAGGTTGCTAGGGCACCGGTTTCAGGGCTCAAGCGGTCCAGCCGTGCACTTCCACCTCGTGTAATGTAGGTGCCCGTAGGGGCTTCCGGCCAGTTTTGCCGCAGAAC